CTATTTTTAGTAGAGATGGGGTCTCGCTCTTGCTCAGGCTGGTCTCGAACTCCTGAGCTCAAACAATCCGCCCGCCTCGGCCTCCCAGAGTGCTAGGTTTACAGGCGTGAGCCACCGCGCCCGGCCAGGAGTGGGCAGTTTTACTTCAGATTCATTCTTACCCAAAGGAAGGGTTTACCCCTATGGACTCCCAATTTAATGTGAGCAGTAGGTATTAAACTTCTGATCTTAGGAATGCCTGAGCTTTGACCAATTTCCCCTTCATTCCAGGGGGCCACCAAAAATGCAGCTCACAGTTTCCTGGTCAGCAAAGGTCTTCAAGGGAAAAACAGCTGTAAATGCTGATGTTAATTCTCTGTTTTCACCTGCAATTCCTCTCGCTTGCTAGTTCTTCAATGCCTTTAGGATATTTTTTTCATATTCTATCCAAATATTTTAGTTATCATCAGTGGGAAAACTGGCTCAAATAACATGGTTTGCCATTAACAGAATCAGAAGTCCCAAACTTTATTAACTCTCTTCAATTTGTTGAATGGAATTCATTTGTTGAATGAAATTCATTTATTAAAGGAATGAACAAACAACTTTCAAATTAAATAGATAAGTCAACCTCAAACTCAATTATTTGATTTTTTTGAACACCAGTTTCATCATTGGTAAAATATAGAGTCTGAACTACATTATCTCTAAGATTCTTTACTTCCTGTTCTAAAATACCAAGATCTATACATATATATACAGTATCACCTTCAGCTTTTGGGTTATATCAGCTCATTTAATAAGTATGCCAAATTATGTTTTATGTTGCTTATTTTCTCATAGTTTCATGACAACTCCAAAATAATAATACATGAGACTCACTTTCAGTCCAAGGCTTCCCTTCTCCATCTTCTCAAACCCAAGAGCCAAGACACAGTCTGCTATACCTTAAAGGAAAATGTAATTATTTTTAAAATTCAAATATCAAGACACTCAAGAAAATTTCATTAAATACTTCAATTTAAATAAGTACCTCAGTTTACATAAAAGGCAAAAACATACTATAACCCTACAAAAATTTTGAAAATGGAAAAATTACAGAGAAAATTCTTACATACTTCCAGATAAGAGGAAAAATCAAGAAGGTACTTAATTCTTCCCTTGAGTCAC